CGTCGATTTTGATTTTTTTTTTACTTTTTTGAATATTTTATTGAAAATGTTTAAAGCACTAAGTTTCCATTGTTTATACAATTCAATTTCTTATTCAGTCTTTGTTATGGAGTAGAAACGTAATGACGAGGAAAATAAAGGATTGTCTTATTAATGGTTTATATACTGTACCTTAAATTGAAACTTTGTTTGAATTTATAGCTTAACTTGAAACCGTCTGACTTCTTACTTATTTAAAGTAAATCACGAGTAAAATCGGTTTCAGATGTTTCTGCACATTCACTTTTTTTGAGGCACCTGTACCCTCTTTCACTTGAATACAACATTTGTTTATTTTGTAACACTTGAATTACAAAACATTCGTTTATTTGTTTTTACAGGGACCGCTACTATGATCTAAAAATGTTTTATGTATTTTGTAAAATTTAACAAGAGAAGGTGAATTATGCTGTTTTCATTTCTTTTTTATATATTCACATTAAACGTTTCCTGACTTTTCTGTGCAAAATTAAAGTTCCAGTACAATTTTGACGAGATCTATTTGAGACTGAAAGTCTATGAAAACTAGTATATTTTTACTAAATAAAGGCTGTCCCGTGGGAAGCCATTTCAGAATCAAGTTTTCTGAATCAAACATAATACACTGCCTTATTCTTTTGTCCTATAGTACACGGATTTGACTATGCTGCAACAAAAAAGAGTGTGGGTGTGTGTGGTAAGTGGGGTTGACATCCGGACTTTGAATGTACCCCCCCCCTCCCGGTGCTTCTTGCGTGCGACTGTAATGGCAAATATATATTTTTTTCTTTAAAAGCAGAAATATTTGTATTTAATTGTTAATTCCTTTCCTTAGAATCATGTTAGGATTATGATATAAACTCCAGAACTCGATTTCAACGGAACTTTAAGAAGTTAATGCCGAGATATGCGGGGTATTTTGATACATGTATCAGTATGAAGATTTCATAGCAAAACGTTATTTATATCATTTCATGAATTCAATGGTCATTTGAATATATATCACTTTCTCGAAAGGTAGGTTAAACAATATACAATCAATCAATATATTTCACGCTCATTTTATTTTTTAAAGATTTTAAACATTTTCATAACTTTTGGAAATTACACCCATAACCACTTGTCACATTCTGTATGCTCTATCAGTGATGTGTTCTCAAATGATGCAGCCATATCGGACATCATCCAGAAATTCGTACCTATTTTCGCTTTAACTATTGTGTTTTTTTCATCTAGTTTATAAATATCATCATCCATAATATTGTTGTCGATGTAAATATTGTTAAGTTCTTCAACATTGTGTATAATGCTTTTGGGGACAAAGTCTACAATAGCTATATTTAGTTTCTTAACATATTGCAATACAGTTTTGAGTGGGATTTCATTCATTTATTTCATCTGAACAATTTAAGAAAATTGAAACATAGTAATTTTTACCGTATAATTCTCTTCAATCTATTTATTTGATCATTTGTAAATCAATTTTTGAAACAAATATATTTTAAATTTCAAAATTTTCGTAGCATGATCCTTCGCCCCCCCCCCCCCTATTTCTTTAGCATATTCTCTTAATACTAATTCAGTATATAATAATTGTGACTGAAAAGCAACTGAAAGGTCACTGAAATGTATGTGCCATTCAGTGGCTGAATGGCCATTGAAAATTCACTGAAAGCCGCCTTGCACTTTTAACCGAAAGATCTTGTTTCTTCCTGTGTAAATTGAAACTTTCTTTGAATTTAGTCCTCAAATTGAATCCGTCCTCCTGTGTAAATTGAAACTTTCTTTGAATTTAGTCCTCAAATTGAAACCGTCTTTTAATTTCCTACATTTTACAAAGTAAATCACAATTAAAATTGGTTGCAATTATTTCTATACATTATTTTTTTTTAGTTTTGTGGCACCTGTACACTGTTTCGCTTGAACACAAAAATTGTATATTTCTTCTAATTGACGCTACTATGAATGAAAACAAATGATTTATCTATGATTGATTGTGCTGTTCCTGTCTCTTTTTTTTTTTAAATATATGTACACTTAACGCGGGGCTTGACTTTTCTGTGCGAAATTAAAGTTCCTTTAAAATTTTGACGTAATCTATTTGAAACTGAATGAACTATTATAGTTTACGCAAGAACGCAAGCCCCTTAGGAAGCCATTTCAGTTGTGTGTGTGCATTTTTTCAGGTGTGGGCACTTTCAACCACCACAAATTCCTTGACAAGCAAATCAAATTTTTTCACGGCCATGAAAGGTCATCTATTCATTTTTTCTACGTGTAAATGGGTAATAATCTTGTCATCATATATGCTTCTCACATTTCGATGCGATCTTTATCCCATAATAAAATATTACGTCCAGCACACGTTAATGCTATTGGTATGAGGCGATGCTGTTAATTAAATAATAATATACCGCTCTTATTTAATGTTTATGGAAACACTTTTTTTCCTAGTTATTAATTCAAAATAATCCAAACATTTAAAAAACACATTTGACTCGTTTATTCACCTGTCCCCATACAACTCTTTTGAAAAAAAAGAGGGGGGGGGGGGGGTTCAGCCAGAAAAAAAAATTACCTCAAAAAATTTCTTACCTTAGAGTCATGTTACATGTTGGATTATGATATGCTAGTAAAGTCCTATCTCGATTTAAACGGAACTTAAAGAAATTTATGTCGAGATACACTGCCATTTTCACACATGGTATTTTACAGGCATTAAAAACGACAGTTAACCGAAGGCTGGCTGTCGGGGTTATATCAGTATGATTAACAATGGATTAAAATTAAAATGGCTAAATACATTTTAAATCATGGTATATAAGTAGTGCTTAAAAGAACGGTAATTACTATATGTGCAAAGATCTCTCGCTCGCTCTTTCTTTCACTCTCTCTCTCTCTCTCTTTCTCTCTCTCTCTCTCTCTCTCTGAAAAAAAGTGTACATGTATATCAAATTTATCTTTTAATATTAAAACTTCTTATCATTAATTCAAATTAAAGCATTTGTAAATTGCTAAGAAAAGAAATATGCAGCGTTATTCAAGTCATGCAGAGAAATCGTTTTAATCGCTGTTCCTAGCAATGTGCATGTCCAATGTCCCGTATGTTAACAAGTTATATACTTAAACAAAATTATGAATAAATTTACGTACTAAAAGATAAATAATATCATTTATTATATACCTAATGTGTATCACCCAATTTTACTGTAGATTTAACGCAATCACGTGACGTCGTGCTCTGATTTTCCGGATCACCAACATGTTGTTTTCTGAATCCATATCACCACTCTCTGAAACTGATGACGTAGTACGCAGAAAGATGACGTTATTTTTCTTGCGCGTTAAAAAGTCCCTTGTATTTATGCGTTGTTTTATGGATAAATGTTTTGCAATTGATCTATAAAGTTTTCTTTTGCTATATTTTGCTAGTTATGAGGGGATATATAATAAATTTATCATTATAACAGTAACATGATCCGAAGAGCCGTATCACGTCTCGTTGACAGGCGCGGATCATCAGATCCAACTCGACGCTTCGCGTCTCGTTTGATCGGATGATCCGCGCCTGTCAACTCGACGTGATACGACCCTTCGGATCAAGTTACTGTTATAATAATATGTATATACTTATTAAAAATGTCCGCGTCGTTTTCTGAGCATTGTGACGTCAAAAGATAAGGGCCCTGACGGCAGTCATTTCATAATGAATAATATTATATGAGATTATTTTCGTAATTTTCATTGGCTGAAATGACGTCATGTGATATTCCTCCTTCTTTTGTGAAAACGACAAAAAAGCGCGTCGGCGGAAAATGATAACGCACGACGCAGCGTTCGGTTGAACTGAAGTTACGTAAAACATGACGTCATAGTATGGGAAGCGTGTTTCTAACCATTGTGACGTAATGACAGCCAAGTCTGTTTAGTTAGGACTGTGTCAGTGCATTAACTTTGAGTGATTATATAATATAAATATAATGGACTTCAGTGAACGAATATGTGGTTATAAGGACTCATGGCAATTGATTTTGACCTCAGACACAGGAAATGATAGCGACCTCGCAAGCTCGGTCGCTATCACTTTCTGCGCCTTCGGTCAATATCAATTGCCATGAGTCCTTATAACCACATATCGACCTACACTGTAGTCCATAATTGTATATATTTACATTTGCAAATGTTTTCCTTTATATAACACTACTGAAGGCAAGCGTTTTTATAACTGTATAAATACAGGTACGGGGTCAAGAGGTCTTAGATGTGCGTTTGGATAAACTTTCGACGTAATTTCTCTGTGACGTCATAAAGGGTCGACGCGCGTTAAGTGGAATACATACATGCCGTTGGGTTTGAAAAAATAAGCATTTCACACGTTAAAAGTGACAATCAGGCAAATGTAAAGTATGAATAAGTCACAAATGTAAATATAAGTAATAAGGTATCATTTTTTGAGTTTTATTGAGATGTAAAACGGGTTGGCACATGATCAAGTCTTCCATAAAGCCCTTCGGGCTTTATGGGATTTGATCACGTGACCAACCCGTTTTACATCTCAATAAAACTCAAAAAATGATACCTTATTTCTTAAATAAATGAATATAAACTTACGTAATCTTCGACACGAGAGGCTTAACATTCTATGTATCGTCTTCTTTAAAGATACAATTTTGAGAGTGATATTTTTACATTTAAAATATCAACAGTGCTACGAAATCAAGTATAGAGAAATGGTTCATTTTATTTTTTTTATGTAATCTCCAAAGTCTTACCTAATACATGCTTAATACATGCAATATCTTAATTCATTTCAGTAAAACATTGTCGTGTTGTCAAGTGTGGCTTATTTGGAATGAAAGATGCCAGGGTTAGGCAGGTTAACTAGAAGTACTCGTCTGCAAATAATTCTTCACTGTATGTAATGGTAAAGAAAAAAATAAGACGGTTTATACAAGTTTCTCACTTAAATAACATTTAACATGTTAGCGAGTTTTTATCATCATAACAGTCTCTTTAATCTCGCTACCATCAATCACTGTAGGCCACAACGGTTTGTACCACCCTGGGTCACACCAGGGACCGTTAAGGAAGGCGGTGTGACAGTAGTTAAACCACCAGCCTCCATCATATACAATAGCACAGTTATCATTGTGTTCGTCGTTATCTCTGTCGTAGGTGGTGAAGGACATCCCAGACAGATTTAAATAGGGATCACCAACGTCTAACATACTGTCACCTGAAGAAGTAAAGAAAATACAAAATAAAAATATCAGGGTTGTTAAAAAAAAATAATGTCAACGGTGCTCGGAAAGAAACAAAAAATCGCTTTTCAATGTTTTAAGGGGATACAGGGCACATATGACTCAAAAAACAGATTACGTCATAGTCGTTTTAAATTTTAATGTCGAGTAAAATATTTTATATTCTACTCTCAAATGTATTAACATCGAAGGGAATCTTATATCCTTCCAAGTTATTTAATCGGCGACTCACCTAAGGTCCCCTCCGTCGGTCCAGCAAGGTAAAGTCTGTAGTTATCTTTCTCGTCGGTCACTGAGAACTCCTCGTACTGTTGGTATAGAGTTGTACCATTGGTCAGAGTAATGGACACGTACAGAGATGAGCTGATTTTAGTTAACTGATGAATGACGTCATTTCCTAAAATAAAACAGGAAATACAAACATGGCATGATAAATTTTCTTGAAATTAATCTAATTTAAGGAGGTGTCCTTGTCTGGTTTTGCGAAAATTGCCAAAATTAATGAAAAAAAAATAATAAAGGAATCCGTATTTACCACAGACGTGCACTTCTACATATTGTGTGTAAAATATCTGCAAAGTGTTAGCAAATTTCATGCGGCAGTTTTAGAGGAATTGCACTGACAAAAACAGGACTCAGAGTTTGACTGACAAAACTGATGAACATGTTGTTGCATGGGGTATACAATGTTAAAATATATACATGCATACCAAAAGTATCTCACGTTACTTATTTTTTTCTTTTATAAAAAATACCCCTACCTAATAACAAATAATTTTAGGTAGGGGTATATATTTTTATTAAAAGAAAAATAAGTAACGTCAGGTGTTTGTGATGTATACCTATCCAATAAGACGAGTTAACAGAACCAAAGCCTTCTTTGTACTCATTCCAATTTCTAAGGAAATCCGTTGATCCGTCAATACGCCTATGTTTAACCTATTGTATATACAGAAAAATATCTTTGATACCATTTCATCAGATATGAAGCCAAATGCTTTTATCTTTTTTTTTAATTTCATGCAGTAATAAATTACTTATAACACTGACCGTCCAACCTCCATCTTTTCTTTTCATATCACAGAAAACATCCACTGAACGGTTGTACCAGGGATAAATTGTATAAACACTCGATACAGAAAAACCGACAGCAAGCAAATGTTTACAGTCTATCAGATGAATTTTCTCTGAAATTCATCAAAGAGAAATCAATTATTCATTATATTATAGATACAAACTATAGAAGAAATAATTTTAGGAGACAGAAGTGAAACATTTACAACAACAATGCATCATTTTAAAAATAAAATGATTTTGATAAAATAATTTAAAATTTTTGACTCTCATTCTGATCTGACTTAATATTCAATAGAGTGCCAAACAACAGGAATTATATGGTGATGGAGAGAACCTATAAAGACCCTGATTTCCCATTCGAGGATAATATATTTCGTGTAATACCGTGACCATATCTATCCTTACGTCTTTATTTGAATGCTTTAAAGGCGATGATGTTCGCTAACTTTACATTCAACTTATCTTGTCATTGGTAATTTGCAAAATTATTTTGTTTGAAAGACATTCTGATTGTACGCACAAGTACTTTGAAGCTGACATTAAAAGAATGCTTGAGATTTTGATTGACAATATCTGTGTCGTTTTGGGAGACCAGATCCTTGAACAATCTATTGGATTCCCATTGGTATATTTTTGTATTCACATGAAACAGAAGTAGTGGAAAGTCTTCTACGTGAAAAGAAGAAAGCACTTACTGTGGCTTTCAACTCAAGCATTTGTAAACTTTTGTGGGGTCAAATTTTCGAGGTTTGTGGGGTTTTGATTTCGTGGATTAGAAAATCTTTAGAAAGTAATGCATGTAATAGTTTACATTTCGTAGTGGTCATAAATTCGTGGATCTCTCAATATCTCCAAAACAACGAAAAGAAAACCTAACGAAAATTAGTAATTTTATTTTAACTATGGTTTTTCTGTTCTTTTGAAGATTTTTAAAAGATTCTTCCAATGTATTCCTATATATATGTAAATCATTCATCGTAAGTTGCCACAGCCTATCCCAGCAATCATGACTTGAACAATCTTTTATCTAAACTACCTGCAGATGCTTCCATATAAATATAACGAAGCAGTGACTTGTTGTTCTAGAGAAGGTATCTGAAGAATTTTTTAAGGAATATTCTTATTTATTCGTTAATTAAACTCCACATTATCGAATGTGGTTCAACCCTATCCCCGGGGGTCGTGATTTGAACATATTTGAAACTTTACCACCTGCAAATGCTTCCAGATTGATATGACTAAAAATGGTTTTTCTGCTCTAGTGCAGACTTTTTAAAGACTATTCCTATTGATTCCTAAGTGAAAATTTGATCGTCCATCGTGACCCTACCTTACCCCAGGGGTTATTGATAAGATAACCTGACAAAATTCCACATGAGTTTCATATTTTCTGGCCAAATGGTTCTCGAGAAAAATATTATTCAATATCATTATTTTCCCCCTATTTCATAATTATTTCCATTGTAGGAGACCATGGCACTTCGTCCAAGAATACTTTATGCCCAGTTTGGTTAAAAAAATTTTGCAGTTGTCCTGGAGAAAAAAATTAGGCTGTGAAAAGTTTCAACAAGGACAAAAAACGGACAAATTTCGATCAAAAAATGCTCACTTTAGCCTTCGGCTTTTATATTTCTTTACAAAAAATAAAGCACTATGCCGTTAAATAAAAAAGAAGATATAATAGAAGTCCACAAACTTTCCCAACAACCTTCACATTTTATACGTATTTCTTGTTTTAAATTCTGTTAAATGAGGCCTATTTATTTGATTGCACTAATCAATAAGCAAATATATAGATGCAAGTAAATTTCTTAATTTCCTTTTCTTAGTTCTATCAAGAAATACAATTAATGGTAAACATGAAATAAAACAAATTTCCCTGAGTTTAAGCCACTTTCTTTGCTTTATTCTATCTTATCTTTTTGCACTTATATCAGCACATTATCAAGGTACTTTTTCACAACTGAAATTGCTATGAATTATCAAGGGAAAGAATAGATTTCTAATCTTAACAAACTTCATTGATCAAATAAAGGTGTTATTAATAATGTACGAATTTTTTTTTTTGTAAATTGTGTAAGTTATTGATTATTAACAATGTTAAGCCTATATCAAAGTTGCAAAAGTTTTAAAACAGATAAAACAAACGTCGCTATTGTGAGGTCACAATACATTGCTTTGACGTAGAACGACATAGGTCCTCCATTAAGGGGCGGAAGTGAATGCATGTCGATGCATTTAAACCTTTTGTATCTTTAATTGTAGCTCATACCTTTGTTTAAAACTAATTATGATATTTCATATTTATGCTAAAAACTTAGTCTTTCTAATAAAATAATTTGTGTCGTTGTAACAAATGCACTATTACTTTTTTCAAGATATGTCTTAATTTAACAAGCATATTGACATAAAAAACCAAAACATATTTTGAATCACCACTACTCCGTAAATGCAATGCAATGATGACTTAAATTGACAGCAGATTCGGACCAAAAATATGCAACCGCATAAAATCGAGTGTATGAAAAGTACAAACGACTTATTAGCGAATCGACCTATGGTTGAGTATAAACTGTATTACCTCCAGAGTCCTGAAAATAGTATCTCCATCCTACTTCCGGTAATGCTGAATTAGTTGAATGACGTCCGTTGTAAATTCGACATTTTTTCCTTTGTAAATTTACACCGAAGTTAGTACAACCAGGACCACACATTGCCGAGCACATAATCAGTGAATGAACGTCATATTCAGGCAACGGGTTTTCCTGGAGTGACTTATCGTCTAAGACTATTTTAGCTGCATAGTGCCTTGATTCAGAAGTGGATCGTTTAACCAATAGAATAAATAAAGCTAAATACATTGTCCTAATTTTGTAGGTTCTCATAATTTTTCTGCTTGAAAATTTCACTTCATCTTCAAGTTAGAATAGTTATAATAAAGTTCCTCTTGAAAAACTGTTAGTAATATCTTTTCAATCTTTCATTTCATTGGATCTTTCTTAGGTTGGGTACAAAGCTTTATATATATATAGGAAGGCAATTTGCAACACGTGACTATGTTTTTGTCACACTTGTTCTCCAATCGATTGAATGAATCACAGAGCATGATACTCCACTCAGAAGGCACGTGGTTTTCATAGTTCATGTTGATCGTCATCGTAAAAACAGTACAGCATCTTTATAACTTTTTAAGTTGAAAATTGAAAGTTCATATCCCAACAACATTGTTCGATGCTCACAATCAATAGATGTTATTTTAGAATATAAATAGTTACTTCACATACCTAAAAAGCTTTGACGTTCGCAGGTACCTAAAAAAGTTTTAATAATATTGCAAGTAAAATAGCAAGAGGCCTGTGAGTTAATTCTAACTAGTAATACCCTGCTCTGGTCTGAATATTTATATACATATCATTCGTGATGGGTAGATGGACAAATGAAAAGAAGTTGACATCAGATTCATGAAAAATAAATCAAACCATATAGCATGCCTCAATAACTTCGGTATGTGTTATATTTTTAAGCATTTGCAATGAGAATTGCTTAAAATCAGGAACGAAGAATATTTTTATGTATCGTATGGACAGACACAGAGAAAAGCAGCAAGTTGACATTAAAAACCCAAAAATGAATCCATATGACAAAGAGTGTACTAAAATTTCAAGCATTTGCAACGGCCTGTTGCTGAGTAAATTGTGATAAAAATTATATGTGAAACACATCGACGCACGAACAAACGGGAGTTGACATTGGATTTAAACAAAAACGAATCAAACATTATGACTTGCCTAAAAAAAAAAAATTGTCAAAATTTCAAAGGTCTGCGTTGTGAAGTTGCTTAGAAAAACTTCGACGAAAATATGTTTTGTATGAAACGGACGCAAAGAGGTTGACCTTAGATTTGAACAAACTTAATCCCAAAATATTGCATACCTCATAGAGTATTGTGTTTAAATTTCAGGGATTTAAATGTTTTGAAATTATATTTATTACCGACAAAGTATTCGAAAGATACATGTTTCGATCAATATTATAAATAAAGTTTTTTATTCTCTAGTGTGCACTTAAAAAATTCTTTGCATGAACAAACAGTGCTACCTGAAGAAAAAATATCCCGATTAGTCCTTTTCATTTCTAGGATTATAGATATGAGTGAAATAAAAGTTGAATTTCCAATGAATGATAGATCTCCCATCCATGTTTATACTAAGTGATTATCTTTTAATTTTTATGTACGCATCATATAAATAAACCTCATTTCATTTCTTTCTGATGTATGTAACAATTTGATGGCTTTTCCTATTTGTTGCCATGACAACCTTGCTACACATAAATGGTCTCCTTTTTCTTTATTCATGCATAATAAATACCAAAATTTTGATAATTCCTTCCTAAATACGAAGAGTGATCAAAAAGTTCACGAGCTGATGAAATGACTTCCATAAAAGAAAAATATTTTGGTTTCAATGTTGATTATATTTTGAATTATAAATCATCCGGATTTTAATGCACACCATCCATTGTTCTGCGCATTTGCGAATCACGTGATATTAGCGGTCATGTGATCCCCTCTGTATGGTTCTGTGACAAAAGCTGAAAGATTTTTCTGAGTTTTATATTTTTTTTCCATGTCATTTCATTTTTATAACAATAACAGTTCATTTGTCAGAAATGGTAAAAATAATCTGGACCACAGAATATCCTTACCAAAATTAAGCATGGCGACCATTTAAACATACATCTTCTGTCTTCGCAGTACAGTTAAGGCAACATTTTCTATAAAAACTCATGGAATCATACATTTTATGCTGAACAGATTTATTTTTTAGCAAGACACTCTAGTTAAAATAGCTATTTGTTATGTTAAAGAGTATGTCCATCGCTTTTCACATCGGTATTTTTTGACATCATGTGACCCCCTGAAGTCACGTGGGTGCCGATTTTAGGTCAAAAAATGAGATGTCAAATTTAACCAAAAAGTGCAAGGGTAAGGCAAACAAAATAATAACTGCAAAATGTTTAATGTTGTCCCTATATATCTATACTTTCTCGAAAGTGATGCTCATTCATTTAGTTTTCCGATATAATTAAGTTATTCAGCTAAAACAGA